TCTGCCCCGTCCGACCCGCTCGCACGCGCCGACCCGCCCCTTCCACGTCCCCGCCGTCGGAGGGGTCGAAGTCCCCGGAGGACCCACGAGCCGCCTGCCTGCGCGCCTGCTAGGCAGCCCTTCCCTGAGTCCTTACTTGACCACGGGGTATCACCGCCTGAGAAAGAGGTGGAGTGCTGCAGACACGGGGTGGGCAGTCAGAAGAAACGTCTGCACGCACCGAGGCCCCTCAGCTCGTCTCCGGGCGGACTGCACGGACTTCCTGCCCAGCTCGGTGAGGCCCCGCCCACTTCCCGCCCCCCCTCCGCGCCTCCTCGCCATTGGCCCGGCGAGCCGTCACTCGGCCTCCGACTCCCGGAAAAGGGTGGGACTGCGGCCCCCGCCCAGGCGCAGAGGAGGGGGCGACCACCCGCGGGGGTGGGGGCGGCGGTGCTGGGGGGCCCTGGCCCCGCGGCAGCAGAGTAAGGGTACGGGCGAGCCCCTGACTCCTTCCGCAGTCCACCCGGATGCGACCCCTGGCCCAGCGGGGTCGAGGGCGCCGGGACCCCAGGGGAAGGGCGGGGCGGCGCGGCCGGCATGAGGGCTCGGGGCTCCATCACGTACTCCGAGTCCCGCACGCACGCAGCGTCTCGCAGGTGCCGCACGTCTGGCCCATGACCTTGATGACGACCTTCGCTCTAGCCACCCCCTCTCCCGCAGCGTGGTGTAGGAGACCCCGTCGGCCTGGAGACGTTGGCGGCCGCGGGCCCCTACCCCGCTCCAGGGGCCGCGTGCGCCTGTCGGCGCCTGCTAGCTGTGCTCCCGGTAGCCTGCCTAGGTGACCTCGTCCTTTTGTCCTTGTGTGTGGACAAAATATCAGGCTTGAATATCAAGCCCGATGACCGAAAGGAAGTTCACTTTCTTTTAATTACAGCTCATACATTGGGCGCTTCCTATGTATCGGGCACATTTCTGTGTGCATCCCGAGTTGGTTCATTTTCTAACTCTTGTTACTGTTGCGTCTTGAGAGGGGAACTTCATCTCCTTCCTTTTCCTACTTAGGTAGATCAAATCTAGCTGGCTTTCCGTGAACCATGCATGTGATGATTTGGACTGGAATTTCACACGGATAGGCAAGGGTTTTCTCAGAAGTCCAAAACTGGTAACATTCCGCGGTAGTCTGGCAAATGAAAAACAGGAAGATATGGGTGCAGTGATTTTACCTGATCAGGAAACACCTGATGTCCATTTAAAATCAACTCTGCAACACATATTCCCACCCCGCTTGGTTTTCTAGTATAGTTATTTTTGTATTTCTCAGCATTCCTCTTGATCTGTAAGTCTGAAGGCTGGAACAATGCCATACAGCTCCATATTTTTTCCATATTACCCTGCATAGAGACATTCAAATGTATATTTGAAATTAATAATTATTTCTTCTAATCAGCTGCAAAAACTGCTTTTCTCCCTTAACTCCTAGCATTTTTTTTTCCCAGAGCTACTGGCTTAGGTTTCTAAGACATTGAGTAAATGTGAAGACCTATTGATATCATGCATTTGTTTTCTATTGACTAAGAAGCAAGAACTTGAGGATTAAATAAATTCAGCAAAAAAGCAACAAGGAACTTGTAAAATGTTTCCTAAATTATTAGATGAATTTTGCAAGCAGCTTACGATTTCACCAGCAATACACTGATGTTTCAGACCAAGATCCCAGCCCCATGACTCAGCTAAATCAACAGCTAACGTCTCCTAAATCTTCTCTACAGAAATCAGGCACTTAGAGCTCTTATTTTCAGAGCAATTTTAAGGTGTGGCCCTGAAAAGGCTCCAAAACAATCTCTTATTTTACGTTAAAGTGGTTAGAGAGATAAAGATAGTCATGGCTCTTTTAACTGCTCTCGGGCCAGAACCAGTGATTTCCAGCCGGAATCAAACACAAATGTAGAACATGATCTCAGACAGCTGCTGTTGCAGGATTCTTGGGGCCACAGCAAAGTGTTTTGAGCCAACACTTCAACTTCAACTTGTAACTCAAATGTTAATGATTAGTAGAGATGCCCTCAAGTCTCTTCCAAAATCCACAGGCTGCCAAATGCCTTCCTCATCTCTATAGCTCCCGAGGCTTTGTTAGCAGGCCGCGGTGCTCACGTGTGCCTGTAGTCCAGTGCAGCGTCATCGACCTTGCTACAGACACTTAGTTATTACTTATCACCGATAAGTAATATGCTGTTGAGCTGTTTCATTGCACAGGCACTCACTCTGGTGGTGGGAGCAGGGAGAGAAAATGAGTGTCCAAGGCCATTATCAGAAGTCCACACTGTGAAGCAGTGCAGGTAGTGCCTGCAGGACACTTGCAGGTGGACACCAGGATCGAGAGAAGGTGAAGCAGCAGCAGCCTGAGACCCACCTGGATTACGGATTCTATCCGTGGTTTGCACATCCCTGGTTGGAAAACTGCCTGTTGGCTGAGAAAGTGGCAGGTCTCTAGCCAGATAGGAAACTTCAGGGTTGCATGAGCAGCCCAAGGGAGGCAAGACATGAGATGAGTGAGGAAAGCCTTCAGTGGACCTAGGTGGATGGTCCCTCCTCATGGCAGACCATGAGGCTTTTGTGTGTGCGTTTATCACTATTTCACATATACCAAAGGCTAGATAAAGTGCATTTGGTGTAAAGAATAGTAAATGAGTGTCTGTGTATCCACCACCACCTTATGGAAGACATCAGCAATGCTGTTAAGTTCCCTCGTGTATTCTCTGGCCCTAGAAGGGCCACTGTTCTAAATTTTGTGTTTATTATTCCCTGGCTTTTCTGTATGTTTTTTAAATATTTTGAACATTATGTAAATGGCATTGTACTGTTTGTAGACTTTTGCTAGAATCTTTTGCTTAACTTGAAATTTGTGAGCTCCATCCCCATAGCTGTAGGTGGTTTGTTTTCAGTGCTGTTTAGTATTCCACTGTATGACTGTCACACATTTTCCTGGCAATGTACTTTGGGGTTGTTTCCTGGTTCTTTTTTTCTTGTTAATACCAGGAATGCTGCTATGAACTTTGCTGCAAATATCTCCTGAGCACAGGAACAAGAGTTTCTCTAGGTTTTATGCCTGGGACATACACCTAGACGTGGAGTTCCTGGGTCATGGATAAAAGCACCCTCGACTTTGTTTTCTGAAGTATTTGTACCTCTTTGCACTTCTACCAGCAGCATATATAAGTTTTGGTCCAGTTTGGGAAAAAAATCAAATTCAGTTTTTCCCTTGTAATTTTTTTCTAGAAATGTGATAGATTCTCAATTTACCACACTTTCCAACTCCTTCACCTACCAAAGGCTACATAAAGATGCCCACATGTCAACATTCTACTTATGATGGCTTTGAGGGCGCCTCTTAGGGCTCCTTGTCGTCAGTAGCCCCTCCCCAGCCTTCTTCAGAGCTGACTTTGCAGAGTCAGTTGCTGGAAGTAGGGACTGGGCCAAGGTGTAAGTTTGGGGAGACAGAACAGGGAGCACAGTATGGTTTTTAAACAGTCATTGCTAGGACGGCATTTATCAGGGGTGCCCCAATAAGGGGAGTGAGGAGGAGGGGGATTAAAGGGAAAAATCCAGGGGAGTCGGGGAAGCAAGGAGGAGGCACCCCATGAGCAGAGTTTCCCTCGGAGGACCTAACGAAGGGGGCGGGGGGCAAGTGGGGACTGAGGGGGCCAGCAAGAGAAAATCAAGGGGAAGAGTCTCTATTGAGTGTCAAAGAGCTTGGCGTGGATGCTCTGTGCGCCAGCTCCTTCACCTTTGAAATAGGTGGGATAATACCAACCTTGGAAGGCAGTTTGGAGCTGTGACAGCCGAGGTGGCTCTCGTCATCAGTTTGAGAATCGTTGCTTAAAACTAGAATGGAGGCCTGCAAGGCCCTGAGCTCTCTAGGTAGCAGCTGCAGCCATTCCCAGAGCAGTGTTTTTTTTCCTGTCTCTTCCTGCCCTCTTTTCCTCACAGTTCTAAAGGTTGTCCCTTGAAGGGAGGCCCAGGTTGTCACTTGCAGCCCTGGGATCCGAGGAACCCTGATGGCAGCCAACAGAGGGCTCCCCCTGTCAGGCGGGCTGGAGGCTTTCCTAGAGGCCGGAGGGCAGGCCTCTCGCAGGGTCCACTTGCTGTGCGGGACGGAAGTCACACGCTGCAGTGCGCGAGCTCCCGATGGAAAAGCAGTTTCCTGCTTCTAAGAGGCCCCTTGTGATTCGCAGGCTAAGAGGAGGGTTTCCACCGCGGCTCCCTGTGGACCACAAGGTACCGAGAAAATTCTGCCTCCACCTATCACAGATCTGCAATGTCACTGAGGCTTTATTATCTGCCAGGTGTGACCCATTTAATCGTGTCAACAAGATCCCGAATGGGTTCCAGGTGACCACCTCCACTTCCCAAAGCACAGAGAGGCTGACCGAGCAGCCCACGCCCGCAGCGAGTGATAAGGGGGTGGGGTGGGGTGTCCAGCCCTGGCAGCCTGGCTCGCAGCCCTCGTCCCCAACCACTGAGCATCCTGCTTCTTCACAGTGAACTTCACCTCAGCCTTGGATTTGGGTGAGAGGACACAAGACTAAAACTTCATCCTGGGAGTCTTCCCTTCCTTTGCTTCCCTAGGCCATGACCATAACCACACACAGAACTGAACTGTAGCAGCTTCAGGTTTGGGAAGTTTGACTCAGGAAGGCTCCGTGTGTGCCCGTCTTCTCTTTAGAACAAGTTTGTAGCTGGGAGGAAGCCGCTGGCAGAGTCAGAGTGGCAGTTACACTGTATCGCAATTCAAGTTCCAATTACAAAATGTCCCCAATCCCACACCTGTGATGGCGTTTTCTGGCATTTCCTAAACAAAAGGGTAGTAACTCTCTGATTTTCTACAAATCCCTTAAAGCGAGCTCCCTGGACCTCCTGCCTTGGAATTCCCTGACTCATCCTGTTTTTCCTTTGTTTCCTGATGGTCAGGAGAAGGCTGAGGAGAGCATTTATAACTGGCTGAGTGGGTCTCCTCAGGGGCAGGTCTCAAACTGATGGCTCACTCCTAGCTGAGGGTGGTGAGGACATGCCGCTAAAAATTACAGATGGTCGGAGCTGGGCGGGACAGCTGTGCTAGTTCATGGCTGACTCAGCATTGCCCCAGACGGGCCGAGCAAGGAGCCAGGCTGACACAGTGCCCCTTTTAAGGGGCTTCTGAGTGCCTGCCGCACCCACAGCCCCTGTGGAAGGATTTCTCAGGCAGGGCGGGCCTTTACCACCCGGACACAGCCAGCTGGACCCGGAATCAGTACCCAAGGTGGCTGCTGAGGTGGCCT